TTTGGAATCCAATTTTTCCTACACTTGCCTCTGGATATGAAAGTGTTCATTTAAGTTTTATTCGTTGCGCGCTCACTGCATCATTTCACTGATCTACTGAGTTATAAATCTAAAACCACTTGTTTTTCGACGATTCATTCAATCATTCAGTATGTGCTTTTCAGTGTTGGCAATATCAATAGACTAATGCACTCTCCAGAGGTTCTTGCGTAAATCAGCTTTAATTTCCCTAAAAGATTCGGTAAACTTGCTTACTCATACTATGATCTAGTCTGATAACAAATACAAAATGAGCGCATTCAGACAAGAACTAGCCTACGGATTGTCTGCTTTTAAACCTCCGCTTGGATCAAGAACAAATACTCAACACATTAATTAGCAGAACTCAAACCAATTTGCTGGGTATCTACTTCTAATGGGGTCTAAAGTATTACTTATAACGTCTGATATGCATTGGTCCGTCAATAGACAAAATTCCTACTCTTATTGTAGTACATAATACTTGAAAATTCCACAAGCTATATGGCTGTCTCCGGATCGAATATCTTGCGGTCATGTTGTGATGGCCATTACCTTGCCGTAACAAAAATACAAATCTCTGTGCAGTAATGAACGCCCATCAATAACCACCGGGAAGCTGTTTCAACCATGACAGTATCCGATAATCTTTGGCGCCTCTGTCTTCTATGGAGATCCAAAAAAATACTTATTTTCATCGGCAACCGCAGTGAAAAACAAGTCCAATTGAACGTAACCAAAATTGTCAAAATGCGCCTTAAATTGTCATTTGTTGCGATTGCTTGGAAGAGCCACTTAAGAAGCGTAAGCTGCAAAAAAAAAATACATAAACTTCGTATGGGGGCCAAATGATACCCCATGGTATGTAGAGAAGGTGGAAAATTTATTGATCGGATAATATAAGAATTTACATAAAGTCAAATGATCGACAGAAATAAAAATAGATGTATGAATCTAAAGTCAATTAACCCCGCTTAGGGTTAATGAAAATTTAAAGAACTACATTCATGGACGTCTCTACACCTTGGATGAGATCGATAATAAGACCGTTGAGAAAAATCAAACAGAAATATCAGTAAACACAAGTGTGTGCTAAGTAAGTTTCGCAAAAAAATGGATCCGATTTTACGGCTATAAAAAACCAGAAAAAACCTAGACCTCAAAGGAAGAACAGTCAAAGAAGTAATAGCGCTGGGAAAAGAATGATTAAGTAGAAATTTAATTAAATAAAAAAAAGTAATTAAAATAAAAATTAAAAAAAAAGTATCATTATCTCATATCACTTTATAAAAACCAATGATATAAAATTAAATTAAATAAACAAGAAAAAACTGAAATAAATCAAGAACAAAATCAAATAAAAGTAAAATCAAATAAAATATAACAAAAGGAAATTTATTTTAAATCACATACAAAATGAAAGGAAGCCAAAAAGTAATTAAACAAGAATAAAATCAGATGACATGGTATCAGGTAAATCGCCTGTGAATATCAATAAAATATAAAGCAAAAATAAAAAGAGTAAAATACTCTGAAAAAACACTTTATCCGAAACAATATGAAATAAATTAAAATCCATTATAAATTCAAAAAATGTCGGTATATAATAACAATCTTTTAAAATTAAGCCAAAATTAACTTATGATAAAATAGTGAATATTAAATTAACTACTAACAATTAAAAATAAATAAAACCAATTAAATAAGAAATAGCCTAAAACAAAATATATAATGAAGTAGATATAAAGGGTGATCATTCGAAAAAACATTCTTTGGCATTATCTCTTTCAAATGCTGGCCGCGGCTATGACTCGGCTGGCCCATCCATTGAGTCCAATTTTCGATGGCTCTTGTGAGCATTTCTACTAGTAACTGACCCGCTTGATGTTCTGCTCAAAGGTCTGATTCGAAAATAAAGTCGTTTTATATAATAAAGTCTTTTTACATATCCCCATAGGAAAAAGTCTAATGACCCAATTTCTGCTCACCTGAGTGTTCTCTCAATAAATCCATTAATTACTACGTTGTATGAGACGTGAAGTCGTCTCGTTAAAACCAAATATCATCATGATTACGTGCTTAAATGTCAGGCATCAAATAGTCGGTTATCATGGCGCGATAATGATCGCCATGAAAGGTAACGTTCTCAGCGGCGTCCTATTTGAAGTAGTATGTACCGACGTTCACACAAAACCGTTATTTTTTCTGCATCAAATCAAAGCTCTTGAATCTCTTCAGGTCGCGTTTTTTCTCAAAAGCGGCAAGTTTGCATTTTTGGATACCTATTGAGCCAGTAATTGGGCTTATTATTGAACCAGATTTGACTCGAAAACGTGGGACCTTTTTACGGCTGCGGCTGCTATATTTTCTTCATTGCTTGCTGGATGTGGTCAATTCGGTTGGGGTATGGTCTTGCAAATAGTTCGCTCAATAGACCGATTATGTTGGCCAAAAGTTGAGCGAAGAGTGAATTTTCGTAATAAAGTTTAACGATTTTTAAAAGTTTTCCAGACGTAAGACTATCCCTAATGAAATGCCAAAAAATTCCTAACAAAAATAACATCGAAGTCCTACTTCTAAGTGGCGAATATGAGTGTTAAGATATTTTACAAGGTCTAAGAATCGTAAAAGAAAACAAACAAAAAATATATGTATATGTCTAGAGTAGGCTTGAATGATGGCAGCTTTAGTGTCACTAATTGAACGTTAAAAATTGTTTTGAATGTTTTGCCGCGAATTGCTACTTCTGATGCACATTCTTACCAGTTTCCGCTTTAATTGAATATGATATCGGTAAATGGTAGCGACTAACATTATCATTGGTTGGTTTGGATTGCACTACTGGGAAATGAGTGTCAATTGGAATTTATGGAATACAGAATGAGCCGCTAAACATTAACTTTTGCAATTTTTTTCTCTTTTTTATTGCCCGAACTTCGATGCATTGAACGAGTGGGAAATTGCATACTCTGTCCTTACAGTAATACTTTTTAGATTTAGTTTCACTTTGTCTATTGGTATAGATAGATACTTAAATACTTATATACAAACCAACATTTAAAATGAATTTAAAAAAAAAAGCTGCATTACATTTCTTTTCAGATATTGTTAAATAAATAATAATTCTGTATGAAAATATAAGAAATACGTTAGCTAAAAAAACTTCTCACTTAGCATGAAGATTTTTAAAGAAATGAGATGTTAACGAGTTGCAATGCTACTAAAAAAACGTGAGTAAAGAGGGTGGCCCGGCAGCAGACTCTCCGTTTCATCTTCCTTACTTAATCCTCCTTTTATTACAGTTCCACACTCTTTCTTTAGTAAGTTTAGTTACTTTGGCTGAAATTAAGGTAAAAATTGCCAGAACCAGACGACATAGATGGCACCACTACCACGGAGCTTATACCTACTGTCAGCCTCAAAACATTTCACGTGTAACCGATATTCCATTTTTTGGCCTATACATGAATCTAGAATCGAGTATTTAACGAAATTTTCGAAACAAATTAAGTTTACTGTATGTTTAAGCTTGTAAAGCTTGTTGAGAACTAACAAAAGCCAAGGCTTACTAACTTGGCTGAAAATAAAATTTTCAAAAGCATTTCGAAAGTTTCATGTTTATTTTACCAAAATAAAAACAATTTAAAATTTAGTTTATACATACTTATGCTTTTCTTAATAATTTAATTTAAAAGTGCTATTGCTTTTTTCACATGTAAATATCTATATATATTGCCGTTAAGCCACTAATGGGCTATACTAAATTGACTTAATTAATTGTCTCTCTTAATATGATTAATTTTGTATCTACTTTAAAAGCTTTCGAGGGGTAGCAGTTTTTTTTTTTTTGTGAAATTTCACTCAACACTTGTGTTGAACAAATTAACCGAGAAAAGACCTAGAAATTAAAAAAAAAAATATAAAAATTTAATTGGCTCATTGGAAATGAAATTAAATTGTAAAAGAGAGGATGGAGATTTATGCGTTTAATTGGCCTTATATTTAGTATGTGTTCATCATTTAAGTTGAGCGGATGGTGATTTCAGAGCGATTTATTTGATCAAACTAACGCCGAGACTACATTTCGGAAAATTAGGAAAACATTTTAAATAAAAGGAGACAAAAAATTTGATGATTTTTTCCGCTGAAGCGTCGAAATCAGAGAAACTCCTCCAAGAATTTTGTGATGTGCATTTTGGCGTTCTTCCAACATCTGAAGGGGTCTTAATTTTAATCAACCACCTCTGAAGTGCCAATGGACTTTTTTGAGGAGGTTTTACTTCATGCCTGAAAAACTGACTAACTCCCCTTTAAAATATTGTTTAATAATTGTTCTATTTCGCTAGATATGTTCTGTATATAAGAAAAGTAAAGTAAAGTAAAGTCCTCACTCAATGAACGAAAACCCAACTTTCCAACTCGACTCTGTTGAGTCGTCGTTAGGAGTTTTCGAGATTTTGTGTAATATAATATTTACGGCGAATACTGCCGCCGATGGAACGATGAACCCTACGAGCTACAGCAAAACGTTCAACGTTGTCAAACCGGACGATCCTGATATCGCCAAGAAGAGAAATTACTCTAGTTGAAACCACGCCTTCTCCTAATGGTTTTCCTCAATCCCGAACCAAAAAAGAGGGTAATCATACTATCATTAAGCTCCGAGTTGACAGAGACAGTCTTGCCGTTGTTATTTTCAAACAAGTAAAATTCAATCACACCGCCGGAGTAAAGAGTGCAGCAGACAGTAAGTTCTTTGTGGGTTTGATAGCTTATTTTATTTGAGTATTCTCGGAGCCCCAAATGCGTTAGTTTTGCATATCTATATGGGTGTCCGAAGATTGCGAAATATGAGGAAAAAACTACGAATTTTCTTGCAAGTAAAAGATGCCACATAAAATTTGAACAATTCATATTTATTTCTATTTTTTTTAAATCAAAAAGGAACATTAAATTTTCCATACTTGCAATATATTCTCTTTTTAATTCTTCCATGTCTCTCCAATGCCCATTTTATTTATGAATGTATACAAAGTAAATGAGAATTTGGCGATCTGGGAAAAGTAAATATTATATATCGGTAAGTGCAACATAGAAATATCATTTGTACAAGTATCACTTACCGTTAAATTTGTTTTCAAACTAATTTGAAACAATTTAACTGCCGTGAAAACCATTTCTTGTTGCGACCGTTGTATAAAATATATGAGCAATTTGTGGCAACGCTTATCCAGATTCCACCAGTTGGTATGGAAAATTGCCACACTCAATTTAGTGGATTCAGCCTCGAGCATAGAGGCCTGATAACAGCTAGGTATGGTCTGCGACAAAACTGGTATAAGATACACCAATGTAACCAATATATATGTGGTGTCCGCGAATATGAGCATATTAAGCATACAAATACAAAGTATGGTTGAGTAAACGGCGAGTTGAAAGAAAATTGACTTCGATATCACATCACCGACGGTGTCAGAAATTCTGCAAAAGAAGAAAAAAATAGTTAAATTCTTGTTCCAGTATTTTTTATCACTGCAGAGGAGTTAATACAACTGTGTCACTGAATTCGAATGCAGATTGAAATAATTTATGCTTTTTTTTATATTATTTTTCTTTTTAATTTAAATTAGTTTATTTCTTTAATCTTTTTTCTTATATGTTATATATTTTTTCTACTTTATTTTCCTTTTTGTTTCATTTAAATTATTTAATATAATAAAGTTTATAAACATTTAATGTTAGTTTACTTATTTCATTGCTTTTCAAATCATATATTTTATTTATTTTAGATAAAATTTTTTTTCTTTAATTATTTTTTATTCTTTAATTATTTTATTTATTTTATTTTGTTTATTTTATTATCTTCTAATTTTTAAGTAATGTATTTTTTTTATTTTATTTTATTGCTTTTTGAACAATTTTGAAATTTTGTTTCAATTTGGACCGACATGTATTAAGACCACAAAGCTCTAACTCACCTAAGTAACTTCTGATGCGAAATAATGCATTCCACTAAAGTGTCGTAATTCTGCTCAGCGGTTGTTTCGGATTTCTTGCCAATTGTACTCACCCGTTCTGTCAACAAATACAAGTGCGTACGAATAGCTTTTATGTAAATCGCAGGAAAAACATCATTCGTGAGATTTACTAGCAGCAAAAAGAAAAAGTAGGATGCTTCCAAGATATAGTGCAGCCAATATTTTACATCTGAATCCGGTAGCCAATCGATGAATGGAATCTGCATGGAGTGCGGATATTTATGTGAGAATAATGCCGCCGTGCAGCTGGTAATGCCATATAGCCAGTAAACGGTGAGAAATACAACGAATAAACGTGTGCAGCGCATCACAGACTTTTTAATCAGCTCATGATGAACTGGGTCCGTGTAGCTGTTATCCAATTCCTTGAAAATATTATCGATGCTGCGTAAACGCTTCACATTAACGGCAATGGTGATCGCTTTCAATGGCAAAGCTATGCCGTTGAGGGCCGCTTGTAAATTTACCAGTGTCACGGTAATGACTGAAGTTTTCATGGAATTAACGGCACCGGCAATAAAGCAATATGGGCACATCAGAATACCACACCAGCAAATAATCATGAAAATAGTATTGAAGAGACGAGGTGTTTTAGTTGGTGCAATGCCAGTTAAAGACCAACTGAAGAAGAGAAGTCGGAAAGATTCTTTTATATAAACGTTATTTTTGCCACGCCCATAACACAAATCGCCAATTTTCCGCATTCTGTTCTTTTTCTGCGACAACTTGAAAAGAAGATTTTCAATTAAACAAATATATGGTGATTATCTATCGAATTATTGAGTTTGATGTTGGGTCACTCGAGGCTTTGGGATGCGTCATAAGTACATCATAAGTACACATTGTTTCTGATAGTGTGTGTGTATCAAGCTAACCATAGCCATCCAAGAGGCAACCGAACCTACTTGCAATGATTCCCATATGCAATAAATATCTCCCAATTCCTCACTCCCCACAGCGACTATTGCTCCGAAACCCCTTAAGAATAAATCGTTTGCGTTCTATACAAGGTGACTTCTTACTGTTTCAATGTGTCTTGGAAACATCCGCGTCCACTTCAGCGAATGTTGCCATCGTAAAAACTTATGTCATTTAGCGGGAGGGTTTTTAGCAACAAATTATTTAGTTTATGGTTGTAAAGAGATGTCTTTACTTTCAAGTTTCCTTTGGTTAGTAATCAACTCATTGATGGACGGCTTTGGTTCTTCACGAATACATATTAATAAAATCCATCTGATTGCAGGTTTAAGAAATGAAGCGATTGGAGTTAACGCCTGCAACAATGCTGGAAGAAAAATATACCGCACTGCGAGTAATTCTATGAAGAGTTTGCTACAACCTATCTCGCCTTGCCGGCAAAACGGTAAACCGTCAACGATATGGAGAGCGGTGAAACAGAGAACAAAACATTTAAACAAATTGGACCTCAGTAAGAAATTTCTCTACAACATCCGAAATGGGGAAAAATTAATCAGAATTTGATTTCAAGTAATCTTTTCAGATGAAAAAAAATTCAACTATCCTAGGACAGATGGCTTCAATGGATACTGCCATTATATTCGAAAAGAGGTGTGGGGAGCAATTTACTCCACCAAAGCACTGGAGCTACAGTTCTGCTCAAACAGAGTGAAAAGTAGTGACTATACAGCTGACTTGCGAAGCAGCCTGATACCGTTTTTAGCTTCTGAACCAGACAAAAATTGGGGTTTCCAACAGGATAATGCAACCAATCACGTAAGTAAGGAAACAGAAGATTGGATGGAGACGAATTCCATCAACTTACTTCAAAGGCCGGCATGCTCCCAGATGTCATATGGTTAATCCTCATCCGTCGAATTTATTCCGGAAATCGGCAGTTCAACACGGTGGACGAAATAAATTCAGTCATAAACGAAGAGTTGGGAAAGTTAGTTAGCTGCACTATTAAAAAAGTTAGTTTCAAGTATTCATAAGAGGATAGTTGATTTAATAAAAGGAAAAGGGCAACAAATAAATTATTAAAACAAAAAAATAAACGGTTTATAATTCTGCAACACCTTTTTAACTCGTTTTCTTTTTTACTGACCAAAGTATTTACAGTTATGTCTCTTAAATTGCCTTCACAATAACAGAGTTGCCAATGTTCACGTTACTTGGAAAAAAATTTCTTAAAATTATGCACTGGTTACCAATAACAACTAAATTTTGATCGGTCTTATAATTTTGCAACAGAGTGTACTTTGCATTACATATTTCGGCTCTCTAATAAACTAACCACATTTGGAACAAAAAAATTTTTTCATTCAATTATTCCTTAGTTATGTGTTTAATAAATAAAAAAAAAATAATTATTTGAAAACCATTTTCTTACAAAGGACCCAATAAAACTGCCACACTGTTGTCCAGAAGACTTGAACTAAAACTAACGTAAAAGCTTAGGCTACAAAGAATTAGGAGGTAATTGAAATTATCCCTCCCCCTCCAAACATATTTTATTCACAGCAAAGTTTTGTACTCACTCCACCAGCTGGAATGAATTATTCAATTAATTAATAAATTCGAAAAAATTCAAAACGGAATTGATTTGCTCATATATTAAGTGTTCTTTTCAATAATTAACAGCGTATTTCTTTCCGCACTTTCAGAAAGTTTACACAACCTGAAAGAAGTTTCACTTTTAATTATGAAATAAGGTGAAATATAAGGAAATGATGTTAAAAACAAATATGGAGAAGTTTACACGTGTAGTGAGAGCTTATGACTGCCTCTCATTTGAGAGTGTAAGGAACGGATTCTATTACATGGTTCAAGCAGCTATGCTAAGTATGCTTAGAACAATGTTGGTTGGCTCTATATGTGTGTATACATTGAGATGCTTCGATTTCGATTCGGACTGCTATCGTGTCAAACACGAGGAATACTGACAATGGACAACCAAACGGGTGCCACCACGTATAACTCCTGCGTTCAGAAAAAACAACGGTGCACTTTGTGAAAATGAGAGATGAGTTCAAAATGATGCAGACTAAAAACTAAAGAGTGGGTGCATAAACACCACTCAAACAGGCTCTCGGGGCAACTGGCGAGTCTATATCAATGTGCGTGGTCTAGCATTGGCCAAATGTAATGCAGTGCTTTTCTTTGTTGACTAAAGCTGAGTGGCGGAAATTGCTATTTTCAGACGGTCCAAATGCTGACAGCACAGATCTAAATTAATGCATGGTCGTCAATCCTAGCTTAGAGGCAGTTTGCGCTGGCTCACTGTCCCTCAACTTCGACCGTATACATTTGACGTTGTTATGAGGGGTCAACTGTCGCTTAGGGTAATTCGAACCATGAGGTCTTTCCGTTATTTGGCATCCACAGATCAAGGTTCTTTGTATATCCAGGCTTTTTCAGCTGGTTCCAATATGTTATTTGCGCAATATCTTGCCACTGGGCAAACGAAAGAGTGTTCTCATGACGGTCAGACTCGATCAGCTCAAATATCAAGATTCTTAATTGATACAGTAACAGAACCATAAACACTACTCATTCATATTCATTTCATCTTGGTTCATGCGCTCAAACGCTACTGAGTCAAGTGGAAACTATAATTCTTCTAACGCCATGTGGCTTAAGCCAATCACAATTATAGGACGCAAGATACTGATCACTAAGACCATCCACTTTTTATATGACTTGAGAGTTTCCGTCCATCATTTATAGCATTTTTGCTTGAATCACCAGTTTTTATGGGAACAATTTTCAGAAAATAGCTCAATCGACATTCGAAATGCCAACAATTTTTGACAAAAAAATTGAAAACGAAGATTTTTTGTTTGCTTTCATTTATTTCAAAATTTCTACATTGTGAAAAGAATACTTTATACTACTTAAAATTTCTACAAAGGGATACATATATAATCTAAGAATTGTCATTACTGCGATTCATTTCTTATCCTTAAGATTTTCTCCGAAACCCATTTCATTCATGAAGGCGTATAACGTAAATGAGAACTTGGCAATCTTTAAAGAAAACATATGAAATTATAACGGGCGCGCAAGCATATTCTTCCTAGGAAAAATGTAAAACACACTTACCGACAAATTGGTTCGCAAATTGATTTGAAATATTTTAAGTGCCGTAAAGGAAATCTCCTCTTGAGCGCGTTGTATAAAATAGATGAGCAGTTTGCGTGAACGCTTGTCCATGTCCACCCAATTGCAATGGAAAATGGCCAACGCCAACTGAGCGCTCTCCGCCTCGAGCATTGAAGCTTCATAGCAAGTGGGCAGAGTTTGTAATGAAACGCACATATAATATATAACGGTAACCACCTGGTGAAAAGTGTCGGCAAATATGAAAATGTTTAGCATACAAACGCAAAGGATAGCAGCGGCAACAGTGAACTGCATGAAAACTGTTAACGAAAAAACGTTGGCAACCGTCTTTACGATCCTAATAAAAGAATTACAATATATTATTAAGGATATTTATTTAAAAAATCTATGGTATTCATATACTCCAGTAGTTCTTGATGCGCAGCAATACAATCGATTAATTCCTTAAAGTTTTGCTCATCATCAAACTCGGAATTTGTGCCGAGCCGACTGACGCGTTCCGCCAACAAATTGATGTGTGTGCGCAGTGCATGTATGTACACACAAGCATAGGCATCGTTAGAGACTTGATTTAACAATAGCAAATACACCGTAAATTGCTCATAACAGAAATGTAACCAAAAGCGTAATGTCTGCATTGGAATCCAATCGGTGAAGGGTAACCAGCTGTTTAGCGGTTGAGAATGGAGAGTGAGCCCCAACAAAGCTGTCATGGTACCATAGATAAAATAAGCTATGAAGTAAATTGCAAATATGCGCGTAGAATATTTTACGCTCTCCTTTATCTGCTCACGTTCTCTGGGTGTGTTGTAGCGTTCATCTAAACGTTTGAACATTGGTTTGACGCTGCTCAAACGTTTCATGTAGTATGCGATAACGATGGTTTTGAGTGGTAATGTTATTACGTTGAGCGCAGCTTGGATGAGGGTAAGCAACTCTGTCATACTTGAGGTATTGACCATCTTTGCGATCCCAACGAAAAAAAACAAAGGACTCGTAAGCAAACAAGTCCAAGCAAATGCTGAACTCATCAAGTTTCGTACGCGGTACGGCTTAACAAGTCTAGTGCCCAAAAATGTCCAATTCCAATATAAGAGTTCGAATGATTCATTCGTCTCAAAGTTCTCCTTGCCTTCTCCATAAAATAGTTCAGAGAATTTACGCATTTCCAGCGATTTTCGGTTGCTTAATATTTAAAAGAGACAGAATTTAAAAATTATCCTTGGACCTTCTAATACAGAAGGAGTTGGTGTGCTACCTGGAATGGGAAAAAACATGATTTTATAATGTGGAATTATATTTACATAAATAAGTAAGGCAGTAACTAGCCTAGTAATATATTTAAAATAATATAATAAATAATATTTCAAACTTTTGGGTTTTTAACAAAGCATAGTCATTCTTTCCTCTTTGCTAACATTCCTTATCGAAGGACTTCTTCAATTTGATGCTGGAGAGAATAATACGAGTTGAATAGAGAATGTACAATATTTTAAAAGAGTGTACACCTGCTGGCATATGCCGATGAAATTGATATTATAGGCCTCCAGCTTTAGTTCTGCTTTCTCCAGACTCGATAAAGAAGCGAAGCAAATGGGTCTGGTAGTAAGTGAGGACAATACGAGATATCTCCTGTCATCAAACAGATAGTCATCGCATTCGCTACTCGGCTGCCACGTCACTGTTGACAGTCATAACTTTGAAGTCGTAGACAACTTCAACTTTTTGGGAACCAGCATTAACACCAATAATAACGTTAGCTATGAAATCCAGCACAGAATCGCTACTTTGGACTGAGTAGGCAATTGAAAAGTAAAGTTCTCACTCGGCAAACGAAAACCAAACTCTACAAGTCGCTCATCATACCCGTCCTATTATATGGTGCGGAAGCATTAGCGATGACAATATCTGATGATTCGGTGTAAGGAAAGGTTTTGCGTGTTGGCAACGACGAATATCGCAGACGATGGAACAATGAGCTGTACAAGTTATATGGCGACATTAGTTCAGCGAATAAAGAAGCGACTATGGCTAGGTCATGTGGTCCGGAGGGGTGCGAGTACTCCAGTACGGGACTTTATTGGTCGAAATGTGGGTCAGCCAGTCGTATGTAGACGTACAAATCGACAAATCGTGGATCCAATTTGATGCTCATGCAGATGCGCAATAAATTGGGCTATAGAGACGGCGTGTGTGGTCATTTGCTTGTTGGTCTCTAGTTTGTCAGCTTTCAGGTTTCTAATACGCACTTCGCCCAACTTTAGTCCGCGCATAAGCTCATTTGCGAAAAGGTCTATTAGGACGCTACTGCTAATAATGGCCGTAGTACTTGCGCTCTAAAAGTTTTTAAATCTAATCACCAGTCTGCCATCGCTTATTGAGGTTAGTAAATGACGCGCTAGGAAAGACGTGGTCGCCGGTCCGTGGTTCCTATTTTGGTGTGATTGGAATGTTATGGATTCCGAACCAATGACCTGTTTTCTCTTCTATTGGAGAGCAGTTTAAAAATACTGTATATCTGAATAATATATACATATATGTATATAGGGTTATTCGTTTTTTGGTTTCCAAAGAACAGATCTGTGTTTTTGATTTCAGTCAAACTTAACTGTCAAGCCAAAAATGTTTTGTTTCAATTAAAGTCTGGGATTTAAGAAAGTCATCGCCATAATGTGCTTGAAATCACACCTTCAATTACATAAAGTCCAGCTAACACAACAACTGCGTCGAGGTACACATAATGAGAACACTCAAATATTTGAAGAGAGTCCATTACATTGGTCCGGCGGAGTACTTTGACCTTATATGAAATATAATATTATAAAATATATACAATATATATATATATATATATATAACCCCAAACTGATTGATTTATTTAATTAAAAAATTTCAACTGTTTTTATTTAAAAGAATTAATTATAAAGAAGAAGAATCGATACCGAACAAATTTTAATAAGTCCCCATTGGCTAGCAACTCGGAGTGTCAATTTACATAGGCCTCTCTTGAGGCCAACTTCTCACCATTAAACGCGTTCGCTATGGACAGGAAAAGATGGTAACCACTTGGTCCTAGGCCCGAACTATAAGGTGGGTGCATTAGGACCTCTCATTTTAGCTCCTGGAGCTTCAGGCGCTTGACCAAAAACGTGTGTGGTCTGGCATTGTCCTGATGGAACTCAATTCGGCCTCTGTTGATCAAAGATGGCCTCTTCTGGATGAGTACTGCCTTCAAACGGTCCAGTTGTTGGCAGTAGAGGGCCAAAATTACCAGAACGGAACCTAGCAAACCACTTTTGAGCTACACGTTCGTTTACTACACGTTCGTTTATGGGTCCGAATAAAGTAAATAAACTTTTTTTAGGACGCTTTGGCTGCTTTTCGCCTTGATCGAAGAAAAATTTTTTAGCGAATTTTCGCTTTGCCGGTGTCCATATTTGACGAGCGCCCACAAAGTACTGAGTCAGTTAATCGAAAAACTGTCAAAGACAAACTTTTAGCGCGTATAGTAGGACATTACCCGTATTAAGGACAATAACATCATCTCTTAGATGAAAACCTTTACCTTTTTACTTTACCTTTATATAAATTCCTTTACATAAATATAGTTTTAACTTCCTTGGGGAAATACCAAACAAATTGCTTATGGATCATTTATATAATATTACCTTAATGTAAAAGAAAATGTTCGTATGACACATAAATGCATTGTAAGTACATACTTACATTTACACTGACCACACTTAAACGTTAATAAATGTTTCCTTCGAAATGTTTTACAATTTTAACATTTGTGTGTACATATGCCCAATTAAATTAAAAGAATACAAATGAAAGTAATTACCTTCATTACAAATAAACACACACATATCAACATAATCAATAATGAACAAGGTAACCGGTAGGAAAATAAATAAATCAGGAACTAAAGGGTGATTTTTTAAGAGCTATAGGAAAGTTTTTCAAAAAAAAAAAAAACACATGAAATTCAGAAAAATACATGAAATCTTTATTTAAATCGACGGTACGGTCCATATAATTTAACGTTACGAGATTATTTCATGCAAATGTTTACCTTGACTGCGCCTCAAATAGTCCATATGATTAGTCCAATTTTGGCATACTCTTTCCAACATTTTGGCCGGTATCTCACGAATAAATGTTTAATGTTGTCCTCCAATGCGTCACTTGAAGCGAGTTTGTATGTATAGACATTAGATCTCCACATAAAATAATCTAACGGTTTTGCATCGCACGATCTAGGTGGCCAATTAACCAATAAAATGTTCAACAAACTTGCCTCTCAATAAGTTCATTACTACGGGTGATGTTGAAACCACAAGTCAAGCCCTTGCATTTTGGGCAAAAAAAAAGTTTGATATCCTCTCACAGTAGCACTCAACATTCACAGTTATGGTCCAATGATGCCACCAGCCTATAAACCGCACCAAACCGTGGCTTTTTGCATTGCTAGCTCTTGCAGTCCCAAGTTCATTAACCATAAAATTTTACTTGTTTCGGAAGTCTAGCGGGTAAACAAAACACACCCTTCAAATTTCAGGTTTCTACCATGAGTGGATTAGGCTATAGGTTGATCCGCCAATCATTCTTGACAGATATATACATATGTAGATATATAATAATTAGATATACCAGCTGACAATCATTCCTGTTGCTGGCGTTGACGTTGAGCAGCCAAATGTAGTTTTTTGGTTTAATAAATTTCCTGATCATGAACTTGTCTTATTTTAAATCATTGTTGCTTATTGTAAGCTTCGTGCGCCTTGTGGTCAATCATTCCAATTTGAGCAGATTCCCTTGCAGTAGTTTTCGCCTCTATGTCGGGAACTCCGACCGATCTGAGCGCGACCTCTTCGCGGCATCGTAACAAATTTCAATCTGTAATTGACTACTTCGTATGAAAAACTCATAAAGTTTTTACTGAATAATTTTCAATAAAACACCTTTTGAATAGCCAAGATAAAGGAAGTAAACAGATTAAATAAAATTGAAGGACCCGAATAATTTACAAATTACCTGAAGAAGAAATGAGGTTAGGTATTTTCACCAACAAACGAAATTTATTCGAATAAACAAATGAGAGAGAAAAAAAAATTAAAAAAAAAACAATAAAAAAATTTAAAAAACATGTGAATGGAAAAACCTCACTTTTTCGAATCAGCCAATTTTCCAACTCTTTTATTTTTCCTTTCCAAATTCACAACGAAAAACCTCTGAAAATTTCATAAAGATTGGTACAGCTGTTCTCGAGCCTTGGTGTCACTAACAAACAAATATTCATTTTTATAAATTAAGATTTCCAAAATCATAATTTTCTGATATATTTTCAAATGTACTATTTAGTAGGTGAGACTAGTTCGAAATACCTTTCGCCAATACCGACTTTCCCAACAGGGATGCTGCAATTGTACTTACCCAGCAAGCCACATATAAAGGTCATCGAAATCATTGAAAAGTGAAAAAAAAAATTTCTGGACTCAGTCTTTATGCTCCGGACGCTTTTGAAAAGCACATAATATAATTAGTATTAATCCGAAAACCCACGGAAGACAGGCTATTTTAACTGGCTTTTCAGAAAGAGCTCTTGATCTCCGTCGGCAAACATTTCTCTTCAACGTCTCCAACAATATTCTGAATTAAATTTCGCTAGGAATCGCTTTTTCATTTAGGAAATTTCGTGACAGAATCACTCACTGAAATGGAAATGAGAGACCAGCTGTATGTAATGCCAGATTACACTGCAAAACAGACCCACCCAATAGAAATCTCACACATTTTACAAAGCATTTAAGTGGTACCGAAGATTTAGCTGGAATCCTCCCAAAATATCAAAAATAGTCTAAGTAGCGTCTTTAATTTAAGGAGAGCTCTAAAAAAAGCTCACTACCCGGTCCTTTTTTTTTAGAATTATTTCTCGGAAATACTCTTGAGAGGGTTCGTTGGGTATATACGAGTATGCATGTACGTGTTCATAAATAGTTGTTGTTATGCTAGTTAATCAATAAGTGTGTGTAGAGCGTGCCTAAAAACATGCAACATGATTGCTATTACTTACCAGGCTATAATAAAATTAGCAGAAATAGGGCGTTGCCCATAGTAAACTTTTGCACAACAAGCAAAGAGACAATTACTTTTATTTTTTATTGTTGCTTGATGAGTGGGAAGATGCAGAATTGCTGCAATGAAAATTATTGTAAAGATAACTGCCGGTGTTGCCAATTAATGGATTTTTTAAAACAAATTTCCTTAGGTGAAGTTTTACTGGCCCCAGGTAAGCAATGTAATGGTTCATACTTAATAAC